CCCCCCAACACCCCACCCCAAACTTCCAATTTATCTTATCTCAAAGATTTAATATAATCATTAAAATGTTATTATTCTAATGAATTTTTAAAATCTATTTGAATAAATTAAAATATCATTAAAAATTTCCGTAAAGTATCAGTTAAAGTATCGAAGCATTAAAATTATTATACAGTAAATTACTTGTAATTAAATTTATACTTCATGTGTTAAATTTCTTTAATGTATTAATTATTTAGATAATTTTAAATATATTTACTAAAAGTAAACTTTTTTAAAATTAATAATTACATTGAATTGTAGATTGAATTTTAAAATTAATAGAGTAATAGGTTGAAATAAATATTAATGTTGTAAAATGAATGACAATTTTATGAATTTTATAAAAAGTTTATAAAAATAAACAGATATTGTGAAACGATAAAAATATGTGATAGTTGTACGATAAAAATAACTTTATAATGCAAATCACACACTCTTTACGTCTATTATTGAAAAATTAGTGCAGAATTCTTGGAAAACATTATAATTTCTTAGAATTTGTTACTAAATATTAAAATTTAAATTCAAGTAACACATTTTTAATAACAATTTTCCCATAAATTTATAAGATAACACGAGTAACAAGGTATAAAATAATGAAATAACAGATATAAAAGTTGTTTGAATTCAAATGAATTCACACTAAATTATTATAAATTCATAATTTTTATAACTTTACTCTCATTTATACTAAAATTCTTGTATTTTACAATAAACATGTGAGTTTGCAAAGTGTATACCGGTATAATTGATTGCATAAAGCACCTGTATCATACATCTACTTCATACAATAATCTAACGCAATAATTGTGTAAATTTAATAAACTTATGATTGTTTCAAATGTTGTATCAATAGATGGCATTGATTTGAAGTGCAATGCCTTTTGCACTTCAAATGATTACTCATTTGTTGACAATATTTTTAAATCAGTTTTCAATCACTTTTTGATTCAATTTATCAATTCATTGATGACTGCAATGGTTGGCATTGAATGCATGCTTTGATACCACCATTTGGACACCAATTGACACAACTGGTCCACCACTGAAGACCTATTGAAGTGAACAAATGGATCGACATATGGATCCGATATCGGCGTTGTCTTCGATGGCAGCCAATGCTGGAAGTGATGAGAAGGTTAGCCAAAGAGTTGATACAATAGTAGTCTTATTGAATAGCAATGATATGAATGAGGATTATATGCAAGAAATGGGGATCAGATGCCACGACAATGTCTTGAAATGTGTTCATTTGTGTCCAATTGAGTTCACTTTCGTGAATATCAAGCAATTATCTGAAGCTTTACTCGATGTCCACAACTGGTCCGCACTCTGTGTGACGAGTAAGAGATGTGTTGACGCCATAGAGTTAGCCATCAGTTATGATCACAATATCATTGATTTGTGGATCAAAAACAATAAGAAGGTATTTGTAGTCGGAATCAAGTCTTACGAGTACCTCAAAGAAAGACTTGAATGGGAGGCCATTGGAAGTGATGGTGGAAATGGAGATAATTTGGCACAACTTATGGTCAATGAATACAGGGATGAGTTGATGGCCAAAGAAGTGTTGTTTCCGTGCAGTGAATCCAGAAGTGATTCTTTGCCGCAATCGTTAGCAAAGGCTGACATTTGTGTCAATGAGATAATTGTCTACAAAACCACTCCTAACAGACATTTAGAGTCAAAAGTGACTGAATTAAGAGATTATTTGATGGCATTTACAGACCAACGAGTTTCCAAGAAATTGAAACTAATTTTCATATTTTTCAGTCCATCGGGCCTTAAATCTGTTTATCCTTTCCTAACGGATCAGTTGATTAGAAATGAGAAAATTAGAGACAATTATGATGTGAAATATGTAGCCATCGGCGGCACAACCGGTGCGGCTCTGCAACAGTTGGCACTCGATGTGTGGTTTTGTTCCCCAAAACCTAATCCCAAATCTTTAGCGCAGACTTTGAGTCAATATTTAGCGATAGAGAGTAAGCCGTCGACTACTCAACCCTTTCTGACATAACTTTTTTCGTTTCCTTTTTAAGCGCTCGAAGACACCGGAAGTGAAGTCACCGCTAAGACTGAGACTCGAGAGTTGGCTCAACAAAAACATGAAGATCCTGATGAGCGACGGCCGGACTTTAGTGGGAATATTCCTCTGCACCGATAGGGACAGGAATGTCATTCTCGGCTCTTGTCTCGAATACCTCAAACCCAATGGTTTGTACCACTCTTTGCCACACTTTATATCAGTTGTCGTCATATTTGTTCGTTTAATCAGAAGACGGATCCGCGGAAGAGCCCCGAGTGCTGGGACTGGCGATGATTCCCGGCCAACATATCGTCTCTATTCATGTGGACAGCCCTTCCTATTAACCCACTCTTCAGTTCATCTTTTCATTCATAAATGATTTACGAATTTATTATTTAATTGTTTTCTATAGAAATTGTTTTTGTTATCAATTATTTGAAATTAAAATAGTGTAAATTAATTTTCATACCATTTATAAATGAACACCTAATGAATAAATTCTCATTTCATTTAACTGTAATTTAAGCAAATGATAAGATTATACAAATGTTTATTGTTTTATCTAATTAATCATGTGGACAGCCCTTCCTATTAACCCACTCTTCAGTTCATCTTTTCATTCATAAATGATTTACGAATTTATTATTTAATTGTTTTCTATAGAAATTGTTTTTGTTATCAATTATTTGAAATTAAATCTAAATTTTAAAATAAATTAAAAGCGAAAGTGAAGGGAAAGGGAGGGGAGAGAGAGAGAGAGAGATGGCAGTGAAGTGTGCAGTGAATGCATCGCTCAATGAATGACACGTTTTGTTGATTTGTTGTGACTTTGCGTTCATTTGTTTGGCTTTTGTTTTATCATCACTTCATTGATTCACTATTTATTTGACACCATTTCATACCATTTGATCCCTTACTTCATGTCTTAAGAGTTTGTGAACTTTTTATTGTAATTGTCTGTGATTTTGGTGAAGTTGTCCACAAATGGCGCCAATTCTTGCCGTAAGTATAGTCTGACGGATGTGTCCATCGAGTGATTGAATGTCTTGTCCGACAGACGGGAAC